ATGTAATGTCAGAGAATACTATAATACCTAACCACTGTTTGAGAAATTTTCTTTCTAATTTTTTTTGTTTCTAATATATTGAAGTTATTTAAATTTTGCATGAACATAGAGGGACAAAGGTCTTGAAAACGGTTAATATCATGAAATATACAGCTTGGGTCAAAAAAGAAAGCAATGTCAGTTTAATATTAATACTTTTTAATAAAACTAAAATTACTTCGTCTTTTGAATTCACGAACTTGAAATGTAATAAAATTTTATATGTATCATCGGATTTTTAAATGCTTTCTTGGAAAGTTTTGTTTTTTTAATAAACAGTTTAAAAACGAATTCTTTTATTTTATTAAATGTTTCAGTGTAATTTTATTGAAAATTTAACTTTGCTGCTATGCCAATTTCTATTTATGTTTCTCATTAAAAGAATTAATTTCAAATTAAAACTACCTAAAAATAATTCTTATTCATTTTTAAGATATATTTTACTTCATATTAACGCAACAACATGAATTCATTCTTTACCTCCAAGCATTCATTTACTTTTACTGATAAATTACATTTATAAAAAAATTTTCATTATAAAAAATTTGCGTTTAAAAATATAGGTTTGTACTTTTTTGTACTTAACCACTTAAAATTTTAATAACTTTTAATTTTTTAGTGAACTGAAGTGTTTATATTGATTGCTTAAAAAGGCATTAGAATCAATACCTTACTTGCCTGGATAGCAATATCAGACTCATAATTATGTATGATTCAGAATTTATTCCGTTTCTATACAAAACTTAAACAACTTCTTAACAAATAGATATATCGACTTGGGTGTGACTTTATTCGTCTTAAAAAATTGCATCGGTAATATTGCATCATTTGCCTAAATAGTAACTGTACTCAGTTAAGAAAAGACCATTGCAATAGAGGATGTAAGTAATCATCCGTGGCTACATATAGTTCCGTTTTATTTCGTTATCAAATTATTCAAATATGCTTTCAAAACAATATGAAAGCTTTTAAAAGTTAAACACGCCAGACAAAAATTTAATTCATGTCATCTTTTACGATATATCATAGAATTAATAAAAAAAGGTTATAATTTCATAGTCTTACTGGAATACCAGACTTGGAGACACGTCTCAGTAAATAAGGAGAATATTCATTCTTGAAAAAGAAACAACTATATGACGAAGCAAGAGCATTGGATTTGATTAGACTACTGAAAATGGCGCGTCTTATGCCTTAAAATGCCTTAAACAAATCAAATGCGAGATAAATAGTTTTTACTTTTGTGGAAAGAAATGTGGAATTTAAGAAATGTGGTGCCGTCGTGGCAAACGGGATAGAGCACTCGCCTCCCAATGAGGTAACCCGGTTTCTAATCCCAGCGATGGCTGTTCGATACGAATGATACCTCCGGCTCGCATCTACCACAGTGCTGACGTAAAATATCCTTAGTGGTGGACTAATCATGGGTTAAAGTTTCTTGCCATCAGACTAACCGTGGGAAGTTTTCTTGGTTTTCCTCTCCATGTTCCATAAAAAAAGTCCTCCACGAAGGCAAATTTCGCTCAATATTTGATTCAGGAGTACCCTGGTCTTCTTGAGTGGGTTCAAAATTGCAAGACTACGGTGTTGAACTCTGTTAGTCGTAAACTCAAAATGGAATCTGCTGTTCAATGACGATTATAAAATTTAAAAAAAAGAAAGAAAGAAATGCGAATTCAGCTAAGTTAATAAATTTATTTTATAACGATATTTGAACAGCCGACCCAACTTTCGGGCTTGCGACTATTAATGTTCAACTCCGTAGCCTCGCTATTTTGAACCAAATCCAGAAGACAAAGGAACTCCTGGGCCAAGTATTAAGAGAAATGTTCCTTCATGGAGGACTAAGTTAAGAATTGATGAGGTTTCCTGCCTGTCAGTTTTAAGTATTTGAAAATAAGAAAATTTTCTGTTCGAAAATTTTGTAACACTACTATAAATGTTGGTCTTAGTCTAGTTAGAGAAGAATAATTTTTCTAAAAAAAATTAATAGTATTTCTGAAACATATTTGCATCTTTTTGGAAACAAATAAACTACAAAAAAATCCACTTCAGTTTATTTAGTAAAATTATTACTGTCTAATGATGTAACTTACTTTAATAATTTGGCCATCAGTAATAATTATTTTGTTTGTATTTTTTTAAAATAAGTTTTGGTGTGAATTGTAAGATAATAAAATTTTTTTTTGCGTTTTCATTAAATAAATTTCGTTTGAACTCTTTACTTCATACTGCATGAGAAAAGTATGACTCTTTCTTATTTCTCAAAATCCAATTTAGGTAATCTAAATTAGGTAATTAGCCTAAAAAAATATCAAACAACACTTTTATTCATAAATCAGGTAAACATTGGCAGGCATTGCAACATTTTAACGACATTAAATCCTTAAATAAATCGTCAATAATCCACAATTTTTTCACTATTATTCCACAATTAATAGCTAACACATTTGACTTAATGATTTTAGATTAAAGTGAGAAATTTATTTTAAATCTCACAGATAGGGATGAAAGAGATTTCTAAAGTACGGCATTTTTATCACTGGGGGTCATTCATCGAGAAATTTCCCACATTCTCCACTGGAGGGCGTCTAGTTCGTTTTCAAGAAACGATCAATGTAGCGATCTTTAAAACTCAAAGAGGGAAGCCTTTGTAAAAAATCGTCTACAAAACATACTTTTTATTTAAAAATACTTTTTTAAACAAAAACTCAAGGCTTAAAAATATAAAATTTAATACTGAAAGAATATTATAGTCAAAATTAAATTTTCAGCAAAATGACGTTTTATTTTTCAACTGAATATATCTCAGTAAAATTAACTAGAAAAGTGTTTAAAAAGTATTACTGACTGTGTAATTTTTTACCAATTGAGAAGGTTTTTTTGTATACAGGGAATCAATTTTGCTAGTTTGATGGCTCTATCTAAAATATACTATTATAGCTAGCACAGTAGACATAGTGGATAGAATACGGGAATTATAGTTTACCTATTGATTTCTAAGAACTTTTAGAAAGTACTATTTAAAAAATAAAACTTGTGTGATTTATTACGTAAATATCTATAGATAGATAGTTTTCATAATTCGCTTTTTTTTCTTTTTTCTTTTTTTTTTGAGATTTAGAAAGGAATTGAGTGTTTGCAATTTTCTTAAAATAAGTAAATACATATAGCTATTTTTAAGCTATTTGAATATGTTTTTCATAAAAATTTTTTCCAATTAATTTTAGTTGATATATTTCTGGCCAAATACGATGATAACTGTTTCGTTTGTTACCGCAATCCCTATTAGATGTGCACATTCTTAAAAAAAAGCATTTGCTTTGTAACTTTAAAGATAATATGTAAATTTAAGCTTTATTGAACAACAATTTGCTAGTAACGTCATATCTAAATAACAGAAATTAAGGTAACTAAATAATTCTAAAAAACAATTATGGAGATTCAAATTAAAATCTTATATATTATCATGTTGATAAATTAACTATATTTTTATGCTACTATACACGTTAATATACATGGCATAGTGAAACAATACTCACCACTAAAAGGCTTCTTCTTCAAAAAGCAAATCATGCTATTTGTCGTACGTTATTAGAAATTTATCGTTAAATATGATTAAATAGCGATTTTTAAAATTTTTATTTAACCTTATTCAACCAAAACAATCAAACAACCATAAAAAAGGTGATATTCAAACTGTTGAGAAATAACGTATATTTATTGTTTTTAAGTAATGCGGTTTCATAACCAGAATTCTCTCCGTGCCAACTAGGCCCACCTTATGAAGCCATTTTGTTCCTTGCAACTGAGTGCATACTACAGCTGATCCAGAAGCTATTCATCTGATTTACATTTTTTTAGATTATAATTATTTTTTATAGTGTATTATCGGATTTATTCATAAATCTATTCTTGAATTTCTTTAAAAATTTAGAACATATTTTTTTGCATGTAAATTACTATTTATTTCCTTCATTTAAGAGAAAACAATATTTTTTTCTTGTTATATAACATACCTTTTCTAACTTACTCTCATTGCTTTTGCAAACTCTGTAAAAAATTCCGGATCAAGAAGTCTGAATTATAAGTTTTTAATAATAAAATATTGGATTTCAAATTTTTGTAGCAAGAAATTACATTTCTTAGAAACTGTTCAAAATAATGGCTGAAATACTTTTCACAACAAGAGCTAACATACAACATTTATAATTCTGGAAAATTTTGTATATGCGCAATTCCAAATTTTGCCCCTCATATTGTAAGAAATTCTGGATCAATTTACGGTAAATTGTACCGGCACTTTGGATGCCGGTACTTTTTACCACAAAATCTTGCGGGAAAAATCTGATATACAGTAATTTTTATTTTAATATTTATAGTAAAATTATTGAAATCAATGTAGTAAAATAATTATTGCTGTAAAATATACAGTACAAACTTTTACAGTAAAAGAGGATTTGAAGGTAAAATTTACTTTACGGATGATGCACCTAGGGTACCGGTACTTTTTACCGTAATTTAATTCGGACTTTTTTTTACTGAGTAGGCTTTTGAGCTTTTTTTAGAACCACTTGCTTCAGAAGGAACAAACACGAATACTAAAAACCTACGACTGACACCTAAAATTATAAAGAACGTTAAGAAGATAATAATAAAGGTAATACGTTAGCTTTGACAAAAAATTAAAATTTTAATGATTAATTCATATACGTTGCATCATCATTGCGAAAACATCACATACTTTAGATAATTTGAGTGTTTAAATTTGTGTGCATTTTGAAAGTAAATTTTTTTTTAGAATAGAGGAAAAGCTTCACAAAAGAAAATTTTAAATTTTGTTAATGATTTTAAAATAAATTAAATTTCATGAACTGAGGTACTATTTCTAATAATTTACTAAATGTTTATTTATTATGTTCAATTTGTTTTATAAAAATAACAATATAATTCTTTTGCAGCGGACTGCAGCTTCCTGCTGGCGAATGCCCAAATTGTGGACTATCCTATTGTATACTGTTCAGAGTCATTTTGCAAAATCTCCGGTTTTAACAGAGCTGAAGTTATGCAAAAGTCGTGCCGGTGTACATTTATGTATGGGGAGCTGACAGACGAGAGTGCCATTAGCAAAATTGAACAGTGCCTAGAAACACAAACTCAGAATCAGTTTGAAATTCTTCTTTATAAGAAGAACGGTAAGTACATTTTTATCAGAAAGTTTTATATCTTTTCTCATATAAAAAAATCAAGTTTGAACATTTTCCGTTAAGAACCAGTAATAAATATAGTCAAATAATAGAATATTTATCAAAAAATACTTCAGCTTTTAAGTTAAGAATTAAGCTCAGAAATATTGTTAAGAAAGGTTCTGACGCATTGAAAAAATAATAAAAAAGTTTATGAGCAGATGTAAATTTTTACACTAGATAAAAAAAAATATTATTTTGGGTCATTTTAGGAAAAAAATTTGGTCCGTTAATAGAATCGTAAAAAAAATTTGTCGTAAAAGGACTTTTCACAAAATACTTAGCCTCAAAACTGACCCTACACGAATTGTTTTATTATAAAAATAGACCCTTCACAAAATTTTTTATCTGAAAAATGTATCTTTTGCAATATTTTTTTATCTTAAATATGGACCCTCCAGAAGCAAAATCAACGACGCTCTTAATTCATAATTTTAAAACTACATCTCTCTGAGAGATATTTTTTTCTTTTTTCCTCACAAGACTTATTTTCACAAGTTCACAAAACATTACCTTTAACAAAATGCCTGAACTATTTCATTTAACTCGTTTGTTTATTTCATTTGTTTTGTCGGTTTTCACAAAATCTCTAAAACCCGGTCTTCAACTTATGAGCAGGTTTTTTCCAAATTCACAAAATTTGACCTTTTACAATAGACCCTAATTATTTTAATCCTTTGAGGAAAGAAAAATTTTAATCAATTTAAATTAATTTAATAAAATTTTAGACAAGAAGAGCCATAAGATTTGTAGCATGATTGATAAAAATAATTGATAAAAAAATGAACTTACTTATGAAAAAATACAGTTTAAGAGATTAAAACTGCTTCATTTATTTCCAAAAAAGTAGTTTCGCTCTAAAAGCAGTGCCCCGCCAGAGGTTTAAAATACATAGAAAACTCCTCACTTTTATTAAAAGAATCTTAATCTAGTTTTAGGGCTAAAATGCAATTCTGTTTTGGGTAAGATGGAATTGCGCATAATTGCCTCTCCTTCAAATAAATTAGCTGTATAACAAACATGATATTCATTAGCTGTATAACAGACGTTTGTTTTGTTTTTCATATCTGGTCATACATTAAAAAAGACTTACATAAGCAATAATCTTTTTTTGTAGATATATTGAAATAAATATTTATTTCGAGAAGAAACAAAACACTACAAAAAATGTATTTGATGATAGACTGAGGTTATAAAAGAAAATATTTAGGCATTTATTTACGGCGATAAAATTCTGGTATAATTGTCGTACTTGTTTACTTATGACACTTCTGATATGAGAAACATAATTCTGGTACTGAATCTAAAGTCTACCTTATTTAAACTAGTCTTGATAATTTTCATTTGCATGGTAAATGCTTACATGAAATTCTGGTTTTCATAATTATGCTACACATTTAGTAAAAAGCACAAAACTGAAGGAAAATGTAACCTTAGAAATGGTTTTTATACCAAGACCTGAAGTATCATGAAAAAATTAAATAATTTAAGCACCATGGTAATAAAGTCATATTTCGCAATTCGGTAAAAATTACCGCACTTTTTGATATTCCCATAGAACCAAACACACAGTATAATTTATCATATTCCGGTAGTTTTGACCGTACCTTTTTTCCAGCGTTTATTGATCTGAAACATAGAAATGATATTAAACAATTTTAATCTTGATCTTAATTATTACAAGTTACCCAAATTAAGAACAAGATTTATGGTGAAACCATTTGATTATCGTATTCTGCCACAAAAGTTTACAATTACAACCAAATATTAAAAAAGTTTAAAAAATGTAGTAGAAAGAAAAATGTAAATGTTTTTTTATCCATTTCTTAATATCTTAAAAATATTGGAATAAATATTACTGATTTAATTAAATCTTAATTTCATGGGTAAAAAAAGTCAAATCAAACGTCGACTATATATATATATATATATACACCGAAGAGCCATTACATTATGACCACCCTGCTAATAACATGTAGGACCACCTCTAGCCCTCAAAACTGCTAACACCCGCCGTGGCATTGATTCCACAAGGTGATGATAGGTAGTCCGAGGTATCTGGTACCAAGCGCTCACCAACTGGTCCTGCAATTCCCTCACATTGCGAGGGGGTAGCGTGGCAGCACGAATTTGGCGTTCCAAGTGGGACCACAAATGCTCTATTGGATTAAGGTCAGGTGAATTTGGGGGCCAAGACATGACTTGAAAGTCTCTGGATTGTTCCTCGACGATTTGACCCTTATGACATGCTGCATTATCCTGTTGGTAAACACCATCCCCCGCAGGAAAAACTGCTGCCATGAATGGGTGAACCTGGTCTGCAACTATGTTCAAGTAGCTTACAGACGTCAGGGATTGTTCTATGAGGATTATGGATCCTAATGTGCCCCATGAAAACATTATTCCTGGGCGAGAAAACATGAAAACCTGGGCAAGCCCATTGTTATAGATGGAGGGTGGTCATAATGTAATGGCTCTTCGGTGTATATATATACAGTGAAACTTGTGTAAGTTGACCACTTGTGGTGCATTGTTTTAGTGGTCAGCTTAGACAAGTGGTCAACTTATAGAGGGGGTGGGTCATTGTTTACTTTTTCGTTTCCCTTATCAAGTTGCTATATATTTAATTTTTTTTTTACTTGACTTAAAAATTTTACTCAGAAAATATGCAAATGAATATCTTAAGAAATGTGTTTGAACCTGAATAAACTTCAATTTGATACATATACTTCTAATATTTAACTAATTTTTTTTTTAAAAATTATTTCGTTAGTTATGCATGTGAAGTGTTTAACAAATATAATTTCTTTAAATATCAGAACACGAAAATATTGCGCAAATTTTCTGCATTATTAATAATGCTTAAGTTTATACACTGAGAAAAAAGTATGACCAAAACAACCAGATTACAATAAAATTTACTGTGTTTCTGGCTCTATGGGAACACCAAAAAGTTCCATAATGTTTAACAAAGAGCTTTGCTAATGATTTTGGCGAAATTAACAATAAAATATGGTTTTATAAAACGGGATAAAATTTGGTAAATGTGGTCAAATTTGGTAGTTTTTTCACGATGCTTTAGGGCATGGCATAAACACCGTTTATTCAGTTAAATTTACTTCACAGTTCTGTATCTTTTTACTAAATGTGTGTTAATAAGAACTATGACTTTGAAAGCCAGAATTTCCAGCAAACTTTTACCATGAAAGGTAATGTTGGTAATGATTTTGATTAAATTAAAATATTTTTTATAAAATGTGCTAACACTTGGTAAATGTGGTAAAATTTCATAATTTCATCATAATACCTTAGAGCATGAAAATCTTTTAGTCGGTTAAATTAATTGTTCAGTTTTGTATTTGTTACTGAATGCATGGTAATAAGAATTTAAATTTTAAAAATCAGCATTTCCGGTAAACCATTTTCATGTAAATGAAAACAATTACCAAATGAATAGTTGAAATACTGTATATTTTGGTTTTATTACCAGTATTATATCTTTTTAACCAGATGTCTCTTTACCATACATTTCGATGATTTTCCCAGAATTTTATTCTCTTTGTAGAATTAATCGGTCCGAAAAGATATTAAGTTTTTTTTGTCAATTTTGAGAATTTGTTGTCTGTTATATAATTATTAACTTACTTAACAATGAAAGTTTATTGATAATTATTAAAAATTCAATAATAGTTATCTTTTGAAATAAAATGAGAATTGAATGAGTACGAAAAGTTTAGCGGCGAATATTTTTCAAAATAAAACAACAATTTAGGTAGAAAATGTCACTTAGTAAAAAAAAAGGCGCACTTTAATTTAGTTTTATAAGAATTGAATTGTTTAGAAAAAAACTTTCCTCTTTCGAAATTTTAAGTTATTTGGTTTAATAATTCTTTTTAATGGTTTTTCTACTTAAATCTATTTTTCTACAATCATAAATAAGGGCAATTAATAAAATGTTAAAGTACTTCAAAATTATACAGGACTTTTGAAAAAGATTTGTTTTTAAACTGCTTTAAACTTTCAAACATTACTTTCAATACAAATATACATAAAACCAAAGTAATGAGAAAAGTAATAAAATGATTGAAATGAATGTTTAAAAAAAACAGAAGAAATATATATCAAATCAAACAGAAGTAGAAAATAAAATGAAGAAACCCCAATAGTTGAAAAAATGTCAGTTCAAAATTGTTTAAGTTGTATCTCAACAGAGCGAAATATTTACTTGGCATCCTTTTTACAGCAATTAAATTACTTATTTGCATTAGAAAGAAAAATTGCTTCAATTCATTGAAAAAGAATCCCAACTTAAGATTCCGTGGTTTGAATTGGGTGCATTCACAATCTATGTTGGTAGTCATTATTCTAATCTTTCTGTGCGGTGAAGGACTCATGAAATCGATTTCGAAAAAGAGAGCAGGGGCAAATATATCTTTGTCGCTCCATTTGGCGGCCTTGTGTTTGAATAGTCAAAACAATTATTTCTCCTCACTTATGAGAAGTGACTGTGAAATATTATGTTGACCAACTTTGAATTTTTCCTCAATTATTATATTTGAATGGTTTATAACATAGTTTAGTAAAAATGATTGCTTTAGTTTTATGAAATAGAGTGTAGTTTAAGATAAATGGATGCATGGATTAGAAAAAAAAGAGATACGAACATACTCTAAAATGAGTAGTGTTTTCGTTTAGTTTTGAAAAGCAGTCTCATACAACATGGAAAATATTTGAAATCATATATCTGCGTAATAAGTGCATGACCGTGACTAAAATAATATCGTTTGGAGATTTAGAACCAAAAACAATTCTGTTAGAATTTGAATAGATTTGAAAGGCGTAAATTTATTTAATAAGCAAAGAGTTTAGTAGTATGATGAAATTAAAAACTTAGAAAAACAAAATGATTTTCATTTTAAAAACTAAATTAGTTCTTTATTTAATTACAG